AAAGCCTATAAAATTCACATATAACATAAAATTTAAAATATTATTAAATTCAATGCCTAATACATAATTTCATATACCTTCAAATAATATGTGGGTTGGGGAGGGTTGGGTTTAACCTAATACAGTATCCTACTTGTACCCATGTAGATTGTAAATCGAATCGAATTCGAATAATTCAAATATCTAATTGGTTGAATTCATATATGACCTGATTTGATTCAAACATTAAAAAAACGTGAACAAACATTAAAAAAAATCAATTATTTGGTTAAAGCCTGTAAAATTCACATATCACATAAAATTTAAAATATTATTAAATTCAGTGCCCAATACATAATTTTATATACCTTCAAATAATATGTGGGTTGGGGAGGGTTGGGTTTAACCTAATACAGTATCCTATTTGTACCCATGTAAATTGTAAATCGAATCGAATTCGAATAATTCAAATATCTAATTGGTCGAATTCATATATGACCTGATTTGATTCAAACATTAAAAAAACATGAACAAACATTAAAAAAAATCAATTATTTGGTTAAAGCCTGTAAAATTCACATATCACATAAAATTTAAAATATTATTAAATTCAATGCCCAATACATAATTTCATATACCTTCAAATAATATGTGGGTTGAGGAGGGTTGGGTTTAACCTAATACAGTATCCTACTTGTACCCATGTAGATTGTAAATCTCAAAACCATCCCACCCCAAAATCCACTTTTCAAACAAAAAACACACCATAATAGGATGAATAAGAGTGGGTATCAGTCAGGTAGGGTAGAGAAATTGCCATCCTTGATTATATGGTATAGAGAAAATTAAGGAGGGAAAATGATCTTTATGTGATAAAAAAAGGAAAAGTCTTTGATACCAGAAATACATAGGGCTGTCAACAGTCCGGGCTTGGTTCAGGACAAGGTAGAACCATTCTGAACCGATTGTTAAATCAATAAATCCAAAACTGAACCAGACCCTAACGGTTCTATAAAATGAGAATCAGTACCGAGCCCACCAGTTATCGGGACAATCGGGTCTGACCCAATGAGAATCGATTAAACCGTTAAAATCTTTTGTTTTAATAAACAAAAAAACACTTTATTCAATGACTTGTAAACAAAGAACATTTAAAAACTGTTAAAATCTGTAGTTTTTTGTAAAAGCTTTAAAAAACTATTATAATTATAGACACTACTATAGTACAAACTTCAAGAATGCCATGAAAGCTATGAAGATAATAGCAGGTACTTGATTATTGAATATTTAATCGGTTCGGGACTGTCAAAACTGATCCTAAACTGATAATAATTGGGACACACAATAAATAACCAGAACCGACTCAATGGGATAGAATTCTGAGCTAGAACCAACATAATTGGTTTGGTTTTATCGGGTGGATCCGATTCATTGACAGCCATAAAAGTTTTTCTGACATTGTATTCTTTCGACATCATAGTTGAACCCTGAAAAACTATAATTTTTTCCTCTACTTTATGTTTCTCTTATTTTCTATCAAATCAAATACATTAGAAAAAATTATACGAAATGGAAATAATAAAGTGGATGTTTGAAGAAAGTAACACATGCTTAATCTCACATAGGGGTGGATTCGAGCTGAGCCAAACCGAGCTGAATAGTATGAAGCTCGAGCTCGGCTCGTCAAGGTAGTATAAGGCTCAAGCTCGAGCTCGGTTCGAGCTAAAACCTTGAGCTCGAGCTAGAACTGACTCATGCTGTTTGCACAGCCCCTTACAGTTTAGCATTGGGAATATCTTTACATAAAAAAAAGAGATTTTTAGACTGCACTCCACCTCAGAATTCAGATTTGAACTGCAGACCTACAACAATTCAAATTTATGAACACCTCCACCTATAACACCCATACCTGCCTGTAAATTGGCATCAATTCCGAGCTGGCATCTACCCCCAACTGTACGATGGAGCTAGGATTTCAGAGGTGGACTGAACGGTAAAAACCCAAAAAAAACATGTAAATATGGAGATATTTTCAATACAAGGTGTAAAAGGCTGTAAGAACAGTGTGAGCACCGAAACCRATGTCCTTTTGTAAAACTTCTGCACCTCAATCTCTGAAGATTTTATGCATTTTTCTTTTTTCTCAAAGTAAGAAGCTTAGCTCAAGAAGAGGGTTTTAGTTTCAAAATCTGAATTTCAATGGGTGGAAGTCCACACATAAGATGGTATATTTTCAAGCTTGGAATAGTCTTAGGCAAGGTTTTAAAACCTACCCAGACAACGAATTGGTCAGGGGTCTAGTTCTCAGGTTGAATGGTCCGACCGCTCGAACTGAACAATCAGCCCGTTTTGACAAAAAAATAAAAATGGTCAAAAACGTTGAATGGATCGAACGGTTCAACTGCCCTGGTCAGCAGTTTGCTGACCAAATCAACGTTTTTGGCAAAAATCCAATTTTAGGGAAAAACATACCTGACCAATTCTCGATTTTTCCAGTCCGACCATCTAGTCTAGTCCGATTTTGAAAGCCATGGTCTTAGGTGTGCTTGTCAACATGACAAGTTAACAACTTCTAAGTTCTATGGTCGCATCTCCTCTATTGGAATGATGCCAAGTGACCATCTCAAATACTGGATCATCTAGAATTGTCAATGGGGTGGGAATCTGGGTTTGCTCCTCATAGAGTGCCCTTCACACCAACATCACAACAGCCATACGTTGGGATTATATCCCGTAATTGTATGTTGTCATTCAAGTGAAGATGTTCCCAATGTATGACTACAAATATACTGTGAGGTTGGTGTGAGAAGTGAATTTGAATTCATGAATTGGATCTACCTAATAATATATAATATATAATATATAATATTTGGTTTTATCGGCATATAATCAATTTATTATTTTACACTTTTATTAATGTTATATTATAAAAATGAAATTCTAAGTTGATAGGTAGTTATAAATGTCAAATGTACGGGTCATACCCAATTATCTACTAGTTTATTTTGGTTGTAGGTCTATCTTAAGTAACTGACTAATAATTGGTTGAAAACTGCTCCATCCTGTCTCGAGCCAGATTCGTTGATGACTCTAGAGTTAAAACTGACTTTGATTTTAAGGCTGAGTTGAATTGAAATTATTTTTCGGTAAGGCTCAGTTTGAAAATTATACAAATATAAATACATACAAAATACAATATTTGACCAATCAATTAAAATTATAAAGGTGATAGTGAATTAGGTGTTATTTATCAAAATTCATGGGTGAACTTTGATTGGTCAAAGCTCTATCCATACCATATCTTTTCTATATCATAGATTTTTCCAAATAAAAAAGGTGAATCTTTCATGAAATTGCACTTGCCCTTGAAAACAGTTTTAGACACATTTATACAGAATTTCTTACGTACCTTATCTCATATTACAAATTTGTTGATGGAGCAAACAGATTTTTTTTCCTATTTTTTAGTGTATTGCAGTTTTTTCTTCCGCTACGTTAAATTTGCTGCTACTAGACCTCACAATAAGTCAATCCAATCCAAACCCGGAAAAAGCGGGTTATGCAGTTGTATATGGACTTCAGATTTTCTGCCCACACCTATCCACAATACACCATCCCCGTGAATTGAGAACATCTTCCCCTACATACTATGCAGAGGATGAGATATTCTTCATGTGTGGCTGCGATAAGTATGGGCAAGAGATCCGGGCTCTACCTGTCTAGTGGCATGAACAGACGCTACTTAAAAAGAATTTGAGTTGCGTCGGGTTGAGTTATGGACTCATGGATCAGGTCACGACTAGATCACCTCCTTTTCAGACCAACATTTTCAAGCCGGTTTCATTCAGGCTATTGAACTATTTGAACCGAATGATCAAGGCTATGTTTGATTATGTTGGCATTGATTTTTTAGAAAAATGCTGTCAGGTTTTGGTGCTTGAGCCATTGCCGAAACTTCAAATTCTGGTGTTCCCCAACAGTTCATCATTTCTTGAAATGAAAAGCTTATGTGGTTCTGACATGGGTCTTAGATGGAAGCATAAAAAGTGTTCCAGTGTGTCGTAGATCATGAATGCCCGGCTTATCTTATGTGTCTGTTTGGCATCGTTGTCGTTGTTCTAGAAAATGGTGCCACATCAACACCATACTGGATAAAACAGTGCTCCAGGAAATTGGTGTTTGTTTGGAACCACTTTTTCATAAAAAACGGTTCTCCAAGCCACACTTTGAAAATCGGGAAGGCATGACTTGAAGCAACACCAAATTTGGCATTTCCTAGAGTTACAGTTCGTTGCTGCCAATATGGACGTGAGGTGGCAGTGATGTGGCACTGGATAATGGGTACCAGTGCTGAAAACGTTTATTGGAGCATTGGTACCAAACAGAAAACGTTGATGTTGCTCTAAGAAACRTCCTACCTGGCAGCAACGTTTCCAAACAAAAAAAAGGCACCATTTTTTGAGAAAATGGTGCTTCCAACCCACACATCAGCACCATTGCTGCATCTGTAGCATCGATGCCAAACATATACTATTCTACTAACACCCCACCAAACAGCTAAAAATGAAAAAAAAAAAAACAAACGTTTATTGTGCTTAGGTGGCAAATGCCTTTTATAGGGTGTTACTAGAAACACCCTAACAAATAGTCAAAACCAATAAACGGTTAGTGGAGTTTTTCAGATAAAGTATTTTTTTGAAAAACGATTATCCATAAATATCAATAAAACCAAACACATAATAAATCCATATTTTTGGTAAAAAGCATTGACTTTGGTTAAAGACCAACTGAACCGGGGGTTGAACCATTGATTTGTCTGACCCATGGGTCAACTCTCACCTAAATATTTAGGGTTAGGGTAGAGTCTTTGCGATCCAACCCGAAACTTGACTCGACATGAAATGAACCGAGTTATCTTGTCCTGACGCAAGCCCCGGACCGACCCGATTGCCCGATCCAGCTGCTATTGAGCTTTGAGCGCGCACTTTTGTTGCGTGCATCACGAAAGACTGAATGAAGAATTGAACAATTGCAATTGCAAGGGAAGGTTGAATTAAGGAAGAAAAATCAAAGGAGAACTCTCTGGTCTCTCTCTCTCTCTCTCTGGTATTTGAATGCAATTTTCGTTTTTCTTTCTAAATTCGTTCGCATAAAATCCCGAGAGACCCATTTGACTCCGAGGGTACACCAATTGCAGTTTTATTATGTTTTCCATGGGAAAAATGTGTTTCGAATCAGTTTGGCCTTAAAGCTGCGGTGGAGATAGCTTCTCTTTCTTTAATTCCTCTCCTACCAATTGATTTTCATGGATTCTTCTTCTCGGTATGGAGCTCAATCGTTCGGACGAACGGAGATTAACTGGGACAAGTACTTATTTTCTTTCGACTTGAGCTCCATGTTCTTTTTTATTCAATTTGATTTCTTTTCTTTAATTTATTTTTCTGAACTTGCCTTTTTCCTCATGCTATTTTTTACATCTCATAAACATTTGTTGCCTCAGACAGAAATTATTTGAAGTTGTTTGCAATGATTAGCTAAGCATTTAATATCTCGTAAATTGTTGTTATCATGGATTTGCATCTTTATGAAAGAGAAGTTGTTCGCTCAAATAAATGTTACCTGTGAGGGCTTCTCTTCTTTTCCTATGCTTTACCCATTTCCTCAAGGGGACAAAAATAACATTATATAGTTTATAGATCTGTTGGGTATATATGAACTTGGTGGGTCCTTTTTCTTTGTACTGGAAATGTGTTGTACTGGCAGAGGTAGATAGGGAGGCAACTGGGTAGTCATGTCTGGTCTTGGATCTCCATTTTCATGGTTGTTGGACGAGAATATTTCTCAACAGGAATTCAACTCCTTATATTGATGTATTTATTTTTATTTATTTCTTAAGTAAGTTTTGGTTTATCCAGGTTGAAAGAGCTGTTCAATAATATCATAAGGACAAAGAAGTATTAGAGAAATGGAGAAAAGCAATAAGGTCTAGTTGAGCAACTTATCATGGATCAGGGTAACAGGACACAGTCTGCAGAAAACTATAATAATATCATAATATCAAAATGATCCTTATATTTTTGGAACCCTAATATTATATACCTATAGAAAAGTTCTAGAATGTTGTCTTTGCTTAATGTTTTATAGGAAAAATGGCATTAATTGTGTACTTTAGCTGTCCATTTGTGTCAAATATGGTAGTAAAAAAGGGGGAAATTTTATGTCCAAGTGTCATTGAAGAATCTGTGGAATGTCTTGTTTCACTAGGATACTCTGGACAAGTTTCTTCTTGAAAATAAGGAAAAAAAATACATCAATAAAACTGTCACTTATAGAGCATGGAGATTGATCCCATCCTTCATAGCCATTTTAAAACCTCACATTCTTTGGCTGTTCTTCTGCACCCTAGGGCCTGTTCTTTTTTTGGATTTTGAGAGGGGGGAAAGTTGGTCAATGGGATTTTGGTTCCCATTGACCAAGATACCCATGTTCTTTTTTCATATTTATGTGAAGTCTAGGAAAATTTATTTTCCCTGGGTATCACTTACCTGATACCCATTTCCTAGGTGGGTAAATAACTTTCCCACCCAGGGGGAAAGTTGCCAACACTTGGATGGGACAAAATTGCCCCTTTTGATAATGATTTTTTATGACTAAGACGGTCATTTTCTTATTTTCATGGGAAATAAAAAGAACATGGATAAATACACTTACCTGGGTAAGTATTTCCCAGGAAACACTTACCCAGGTAAGTGCATTTACCCGAGTAAGTAACTTCCCGAAAAGCGAACAAGGCCTTAGTGTTTCCATCTGCTTCAGAGTTAAGTGTAGTCAGAGTTGTTAGTCTAATAGGTTAAACCCTGTTGACCTGATATTGTCAGAAAAATAAATGTATAGTTTTTTTGGGTTTTGTTTTTGTTCCTCTTCTTCATGATTGTATTAATATTTAACTGGATGTTTGCATGTAACAGCTACAATATGCTTCTCTCAAACGTTGAACTATTTAATATGCTTATTCTGCTTATTTACTGCACAATTATCGTGCAATGTTATATTTGATTAAGGACATGTTTGGATAAGCAAATAATAATCAAATAGGAGAAAACAAAATTAGCAAAGTGTATCCCCTTCCCCCTTCCCTTCCTGAAAGTTGGTTCCAGCTCGGGCCTTGGGGTGCAAGTCAGGGTTGCCCGAATTGAAGAACTTCAACTATATCAAGCTCAGGTTAGAGTTCCATCCCCATTTAAAATTTAATAAATTCTCAACTCAAACCGACCAGGTTTCACCCCTAGTAGTAACAATTGGGTTTATATTGGAGCATGGTACAAATTATAAAGTTCAACTGGATCAACAGTGACTGATGCTTTGGCAAGAGGAGTAACCAGTAATCAGTTGTATTGGGGGAGTTTCCTAAGCAAAAAATGTTGAAATCAGATGGGAGGTTGGAAGGGGCTAGCCCAAAAACAAAGGTGCAACTAAACTCTAGTCAATTTCATGGGTAACCAGAATATAATCAACTAAACCCTAGCCAATTTCATTGGTAACTCAAATTGAAAAARCCAACTCTGCTATATGGTAAATTAAATGGGTATCTTGTAGATCTATAAACATGTGTTTGCAAGCATTTAGTTGTGTGTGCATAAATCTGGGGCTTTCTAAATAGCAGTGTCTTCCAATTTTGATTTTAACTAGTTATGATGGAATCACTTGTTGATGAGCACATGTAAAAGATCTCATCAAGTTGCAAACAGCTGTTTATCCTTACCATTCTGGATAATGGAAAGTTATTATAACCTAACTCTTATTTATTTTATAAATTTATAACCTAACTTTTGTTCTCATGTCTTTCACCCAATCCTGCAGGCTTGATAAAACTAAGTTTTATGTCGTAGGAGCTGGCCTCTTTACTGGAGTTACTGTAGCCTTGTACCCAGTTTCTGTTGTAAAGACAAGAATGCAGGTTGCTTCGAAAGATACTATTGAGAAAAGTGCATATTCCATTGTCAAAGGCATATTGAGAGCAGATGGAATTCCTGGCTTGTATAGAGGGTTTGGCACAGTCATAACTGGTGCAATTCCTGCAAGGATCATTTTCCTTACTGCTTTGGAGACCACAAAAGTTGCATCTTTCAATATTGTTGAACCGTTTAAGCTCTCTGAACCAACACAGGCAGCCATAGCAAATGGAGTTGCCGGGATGACGGCATCACTTTTTTCACAGGCAGTTTTTGTTCCAATTGATGTGGTACGAGTCTTGCTTTCTTCTATGAATATTTTCATCCCCATTCACATTGTACTGTCCTGTCTATATCAACTTGAGGTTGAGGAATTAGCTCCATCCAGGCTAATAAGAGACAAAACCATCCCAAGCCTGGAGTGCAATTTTTGTGCCTTTACCCTTTTCAGGTTATTTATTCTATGTATTTCCAAATTTTGGTGTATGAGAAAACTTGAAAATCATTTAATTTTATTTGTTTAGGGTTTCTGGATTAATCTTTGGATGCTTATTTCTATCAAAATGTATCCTCTTAGGTCAGCCAAAAGTTGATGGTGCAAGGATACTCAGGCTATGCCAGATATAATGGGGGCCTAGATGTTGCTCGGAAGATTCTGAAGGCTGATGGTATTCGTGGGTTATACAGAGGATTTGGCCTATCAGTTATGACCTATTCCCCATCTAGTGCTGTATGGTGGGCAAGTTATGGTTCAAGCCAACGATTCATATGGAGGTGATAGATACTAACTTATCTTCTATAAATGCCAAATATGTTCAGAAAGACCTTGCATTTTCTATGATAGCAGGGTTTTATTTATTTAGTGTATCTACTTATCATCTATTTTTGACATTGTTTATGGGTTGCCTATTAAATAGAGGACTGCTAGTGGGACATCTTTTATCGCATACCAGTGCATCATACACCATATATCTGGAAAGTTGTCAGTATATCAGATTAGGGATCTATGGAACTTGCACAATGTATGAGATATGTATGATGTACTTGTATCCATCATACACCATATATTTGGAAAGTTGTCAGTATATCAGATTAGGGATCTATGGAACTTGAACAATGTATGAGATGTGTATGATGTACTTGTATCCATCACCCAAAAAATGGGAACTATTAGCATTCCTCTTTTGATATTATGGAGATTCTACTTATTACGAGCATCTAATTTAGATGGGTGGTTTATTCTTGAAGGCAGAAAGTTATTCTATATTAGAAGTTCAAGTTGGTTTTAAGAGGGTTTATTTTGTGTATGTATGAAAGATGGGGGCAAAACCATTCCAGGTACATCATACAAGGCTAGGAGCTCATTTAGTACACAGGTAGACCTGTTCTCCATCCATGCATAAGGCTCCAATAACTTCAATGGAGACATGTTCATGGTTTAAAAATTTTAACAGTAACATTTCAATTTAAAGCTGAAACAGGAAGGGGAGGGGGAATGGTTAAGATCAGGAAAGATGTTTGGCGTCTTTCTCTCATTGGTGTTCTTTTAAAGTTGGCAATGGTGATAAGATCTGTTTCTGGAAAGATGTTTGGTGTGAACCCTCACCCTTGGCTTCTGTCTTCCCACACATTTTTTCAGCTGGCTGATGACAAAGATGTTACAGTTCGGAGCTGTTATGAGATTTTGGGAGGTCAGGTAGTTTGGAGTCCAAGCCTTAGAAGGAAATTCAGGAATGTTAGGTAGTTTGAACTCACTGTTTCAGGAATGTCCAGGACTGGGAGTTTGACAGAAGATGGTGGCATTGACATAGTGATGGGGATCTTCACATAATCTTTCTCACTAGTCACTTCTTACTTTGGCTCATCAAGTTCCTGAAGCACCTTGGAAGTGGATTTGGGAGGCGGGTGTCCCATCCAAGGTGTGTTTTTTGCTCGGACTGCTATTTTGAATAAATTACAAACCATTGACAATTTTATGGTAAGAGGATGCTGATAAAAAGAAAAATGATGGTAAGAGGATTGCCCTTGGTTAAKTTTTGTTGCTGATGCGAGGCTGGGTGGGAGTCAGTCAACCATCACTCCACTACCCCTTTTTCTCTTGCTGTGTGGTCCTATTTTCTGCAGATTTTTAGTAAGGCTTGGGCCATTCCCAATAATATTCAAACCTTGTTTCCGCTTGGCCGGAAATTGGTTTTAGGAGTTGAAGGGTACTCTGGTCCCCCTTAGCCATCTTCTGGATACTGTGGGGGAGAGGAACAATCAGATTTTCAGGGGGAATGCCTACAGGTGGAAGCAGTGATGGGCAAATCAAAAAGGATTTTGTTCAAGTGGTTGTCCATTAAGAAGGAATTCCAAGGCCTCTCTTATTCTCATTGATTTCGATTAGAAAAGAACAGTGAAGGAGAAGAGGAAGGGAGAAGAGAAGATTGGAGTCAGAAGAAAATCTGGGCTGGCGGTGCCAGACCTTCTATTTATATGTTACGGCGACCATACAATAACAAAGAAAGATGAAAAGACAAAAGTGCCCTTGTGACACATAACCAAGATTACATCACTCCCCCTCAAGTTGGGGCATAGATATCAATCATCCCCAACTTGTTACAAAGATTATAGTGTCACGAGGAGTTTAATCCTTTGGTAAGGATGTCTACAAGTTGTTCCTCAGAGTTGATGTAGGGAGTGCAAACTTCTCCTTTTTCCAACTTTTACATGATGAAGTGTTTGTCAACCTCTATGTGTTTAGTTCTATCATGGAGAACAAAATTGGCTGCAATCAACATTGCAGCTTTGTTGTCACAATAGAGTGACATAGGATCACTGAGAGGAAAGCCCAATTCACCTAAGAGATTCTTTATCCACAGTAGTTCTGCCACACCATGATATATGGCCTTGTATTCAGCTTTTACACTAGATCTGGCCACCACACATTGTTTCTTACACCTCCAAATAACAAGATTTCCCCCAACAAAGGCATAATATTCACTAGTGGATTTTCTGTCATCCACAGAACCAGCCCAATATGCATTAGTGTAAACCTCGACTCTCATATGCCCATGTTTTTCAAATAAGAGCCCTGTCCCAAGGAATTTCTTTAGGTATCTAAGAACTCTGTTTACTGCCTCTAAGTGTGTGGCCTTGGGAGCATGCAAAAACTGGCAAAGGACTCCCACTGCATGCGCAATGTCAGGTCTTGTCATAGATAGATAGAGAAGTCTACCCACCAATCTTTGATACTGCTTTGTGTCTGCCATGGGCTCATCATTGCAGTCCCCAAGCCTGTGGTTTACATCTATAGGAGTGTTAGTAGGTTTTGCTCCAAGCTTCCCCGTATCTTTCAAGAGATCCATGATATATTTCCTCTGGGAGATGAAGATACCCTGATTAGAATGGGCAACTTCAATTCGGAAATAACGTAAAAGCCCCAAATCCTTCACTTCAAACTGAGTGGCTAAGAATCTCTTCAATCTCTGTATCTTTGAGTCCCAATCACCGGTGATAATAATATCATCGACATAAACAATCAAGGCTGTCATTCTTCCTTGTTCTCTCTTCACAAAGAGTGTGTGATCAGACTGGCATTGCTTAAATCCCATATGTTGGATTGCCTTGTGGAACCTACTGAACTAGGCCCTTGGAGATTGTTTTAAGCTATATAGAGATTTCTTCAATCTGCAAACTCTCTGCTCATTTCCCTTAGTACAAAAACCTAGAGGTTGGGTCATGTACACTTCTTCTAAGTCACCATTCAGGAGGGCGTTTTTAATGTCTAGTTGATGAAGCTCCCAATCTAGATTTGCTGCTAAAGAGAGAAGTACCTGAATAAAAATCATTTTTGCTATAGGGGCAAAGGTTTCCACATAATCAACTCCATACACCTGTGAAAAACCTTTTGCAACTACCTGGGCCTTGAACCTCTCCACTATGCCATCTGCCTTATGTTTTACAGAGAATACCCATTTGCACCCCACATGTTCCTTTCCCTCAGGAAGATCTACCAACTCCCACGTGCTATTTTTGTGAAGGGCATTGATCTCCTCCTTCATTGCATCTGTCCACTCAGGAACAAGTAAAAATTCTACAACACTCTTAGGAAGGGGAACACTGTTAATAGTAGAGAGGAAAGCACGGAAAGTGAGTGAAACATTTTCATAGGACAAGGAAAAGTCTTGGCCCTTTACTTGGGCCCAATTGGGGTGGGAGATTCATTTAGGCTAGAAGTAATGGATTTGCTTCAAGGTTTGAAACTGACGAAACAATGGGGAATGCAACAATTAGAAGTGGAAGGAGACTCCAAGCTTGTAATAGGGTGGATGCAAGCCGGAAACCTGGGAGTGTGGTCTCTTAGACAGCCTCTAAGAGAGATTATTAGCTTAGCAAGGGAGATTYAGTGATTTAAAAGGCACACCTCAGGCACGCCTAGGCGCTCAGGCGAGGCGTATTTTATGGTAGGCGCTGCGCCCAGGTCCTAGGCGCAGCCCATTCAAAAGGCGCACGCCTGGTGTGCCTTACGCCTTAGCCCAAGCGTGCTCCTTTTGAAAATTTGCCGCTTTTTCCCTTTTTTGGAGTCTGGCCGCTTTCACTCGATCACCGAAGCTTCAAGAACCCCCTATTTGGTAATGTTGTCCATTCATTCATCTTAATAAAATATCTTCTTAAAAGCAATTTAAACTATAAAATTATTATTTTTTTGTGTGAAATCTAAGAATTTAAGACCCTAAC